TATATTCAATGAAAATCGGTACGGAATGGTACATCGTACGACACGACATCACCCTTCGTGCTTTACACTCTTTCTTCACAATAGCAAACAATGCACGACATCACCCTTCGTGCTTTAACACTCTTCCTCACCTAAACAACAATCACAAGCAAGGGGCAAGGGAATAAACAAAATAGTAATAGAGATCCCGTCAAGGGAACAACAGTTAAACAATTAAATCCCGTCAAGGGAACAACATCAATAATCTCAACATCCCGGCAAGAGAGATAATCAACAAAGCAACAATATCCCGGCAAGGGGACAATTTAATAACTCTTTCTCTTTCTTTCACTTTTATTTCATAACTCACTTTACCACTTGAGCCAATGCTCCAAAGGGTTCAATCATCTCATATACTTTCACAATTCATAATATAACTTGAGCCAATGCTCCAAAGGGTTCAATCATCTCATATACTTTCACGATTCATAATATAACTTGAGCCAATTCTTGTCGATGTTCAAAGGTTACAATTCCTTTCACAAACTCTCCATAACAATTAGAAATCATCACCAAGGTATGAAAGATACAATGAAATCAAGATCTTTAAAATTTAAAGACTCACAGTCATGCTAGACACCAACGTATAGATACTCGTCACCATGCCTATACGCCATACTCAATAATTATCACGTAGCAAATAAGACTCAACTCCTAATCCATCAAGCTAAGGTTAGACCAAACACTTACCTCGATGCCGGACACAACTCAAGATTCAATTATAGCTTTTCCCATTGATTCCACCACCAATTCGCTCGTATCTAGCCACAAGTTACTTAATTACATCAATAAATGCTAGATGAATCAATTTGAATGCATGAAAATGAGTTTTCCAAAGTTTTACCTAAAAGTCAAAATCGCCCCCGGGCCCACGTGGTCAAAACCCAAGGTTCGAATCAAAACCCGATTACCCATTCCCCTACGAGCTCAAATATGTAATTTGTTTTGAAATCGGACCTCAAATCGAGGTCTAAATCCCCGATTTTTGAAAAAACTAGGTTCTATCCCAAAACACCCAATCCCCCCATGAAAATAATTGATTTGAAGTTAAAATCATGTAAAAAATGTTAATGATTAAAGAAAACTAGATAAAAATGACTTACAATTGATTTGGAGAAGAAAGGTTGTTTGAAAAATCGCCTCTTATGTTTTTGGGGTTTTTGAAAAAATGCAAAATAAGTGAAAATCTCGTCTATTTATACCCCTCTCAGACTCCTTGTGCGGACCGCACAAAATGGACTGAGGGCCGCACAGGCCTTCCTGAGGTACTGCGGTCCACTGCCCTGTGCGGACCGCACGAAATGGACTGCGGCCGCACAGGCCTCCACCGCGCACCGCACGAAATCGATCGCGGACCGCACTGGCCCCCTTCCACAGTCGCACATGATTTTGTGCGGACCGCACTGGCGGGTTCAGAGACCTGCAACTTCTGGTTTTAAGTCTAAAACATCCCAAACCTACCAGAAACTCACCCGAGCCCTCGGAACTCCAAACCAAGTGTGCATACTAACTCAAAATCATCATATGGACCTACTCATGCAATCAAATCATCAAAATAACATCATGAACATCAAATTAAGTCTCGAGATCAATGAAACTTTCTCAAAACTTCTTTAAACATAAATTTTGCGATTTAAGACCGAATCACGTCACATGACATCCGTTTTTCATAAAATTTCACAGAAACATCTTAAATCATATATAAGACCTGTACCCGGCGCCGAAACCAAAATACGGGCTCGATACTAACATGTTTTAATCAAATTTCATTTCAAATTTCTTTAAACAATTCCAAAAAATAATTTCCTTTAAAATTTCATTTCTCGGGCTTGGGACCTCGGAATTCGATTCCGGGCATACGCCCAAGTCCCATATTTTCCTACGGACCCTCCGGGACCGTCAAATCATGGGTCCGGGTCTATTTACCCAAAACGTTGACCGAAATCAAATTAGCTCATTTTATAATCAAAATTTATCGTTTTCCACAGATTATCATATTTAAACTTTTCGGCTACGCGCCCAGACTGCGCACGTAAATCGAGGTGATTCTAAATGAGGTTTTTAAGGCCTCAGAACACGGAAAATTCGTTTTAAAACAAAAGGTCATCACACTTTACAAACTTAAAATAAGAGAAACAACATACTATTGTTGAATCAACTTAGGGAATACTATAGTTAGCAGAGAACAAGGAATAGAAAAGGAAAGAATAAATCACATAAAGCACTAATTACTGTAGATTCAAAGCAGTTATGGTTGTTGTAGATAAAAAGCAGTTAGGTTAGGATTGTTGATGAAGCCCACGTTTGGGATTGTGGGTTTTTCTTTTCTTCTTTTTTCTCTTTTTATTGTACAAATTTAAAAATCTAACTATTTAGGTATATATTAATAACTTTAGAAAAAGGCCTAATCTAACATGAAGATAAATAGAAGGCCTAATCCCAACGTGAGAGGAATTAATTATTATTTTTATTACCCAAATTTAATAAATAAATTCAAAAATACCAAACAAATGTACGTGGAGGGAACTATAATTTTTTTGTTTGTTTTAACTAGCAGATTTTTAAAATAATTTAATTCCAACAAAGTTGGATAATTGTCCTAAATTTAGATACTTGTCAATTTAATGTTATACCACTTGTCATCATAACCTTTCTTTGCCTCTCCTTTTATATATAAATAGATTTTCTCTTTTTATTGTACAAATTTAAAAATCTAACTATTTAGGTATATATTAATAACTTTAAAAAAAAGGCCTAAACTAACGTGAAGATAAATAGAAGGCCTAATCCCAACGTTAGAGGAATTAATTATTATTTTTATTACCCAAAATTTAATAAATAAATTCAAAAATACCAAACAAATGCACGTGGAGGGAACTATAATTTTTTTGTTTGTTTTAATTGGCAGATTTTTAAAATAATTTAAATTCCAACAAAATTGGAGAATTGTCCTAAATTTAGACACTTGTAAATTTAATGTTATACCACTTGTCATAATAATCTTTCTTTGCCTCTCCTTTTATATATAAATAGATATTTCCTTTTTATTGTACAAATTTAAAAATCTAACTATTTAGGTATAATTTAATAACTTTAAAAAAAGGCCTAATCTAACGTGAAGATAAATAGAAGACCTAATCCCAATGTGAGAGGAATTAATTATTATTTTTATTACCTAAATTTAATAAATAAATTCAAAAATACCAAACAAATGTACATGGAGGGAACTATAATTTTTTTGTTCGTTTTAACTGGCAGATTTTTAAAATAATTTAAATTCCAACAAAGTTGGAGAATTGTCCTAAATTTCAACACTTGTCAATTTAATATTATGCCACTTGTCATCATAACCTTTCTTTGCCTCTCCTTTTATATATAAATAGTTTTTCCCTTTTTATTGTATAAATTTAAAAATCTAACTATTTAGGTATATATTAATAACTTTAAAAAAAGGCCTAATCTAACGTGAAGATAAATAGAAGGCCTAATCCCAACGTGAGAGGAATTAATTATTATTTTTATTACCCAAATTTAATAAATAAATTCAAAAATACCAAACAAATGTACGTGGAGGGAGCTATAATTTTTTGTTTGTTTTCACTGGCAGATTTTTAAAATAATTTAAATTCCAACAAAGTTGAAGAGTTGTCCTAAATTTAGACACTTGTCAATTTAATGTTATGCCACTTGTCATCATAACCTTTCTTTGCCTCTCCTTTTATATATAAATAGATTTTCCCTTTTTATTTAAAAATCTAACTATTTAGGTATATATTAATAACTTTAAAAAAAGGCCTAATTTATCAGGATAAACTGAAAAAGGAAACACCTTATCCTCAACATTTTGAAAAGAAAATAGAAGTATGACTCCCGCTTGCTTAAAATGATTCAGCTACATCGCACCATGGTTCCCCCGCCCAACCACCACCACCAAACAAACAAACCGAGACACAAAAAGAAAGTGCTAATGATTGAACGTGAACATTAAATAGTAGCTTCACACAACAAAAATTGGATTAAGTACCGAGTTCTTTCGAGATGAGCGAATAAAGAAACTGCAGACAGAACAAAACTGCTTGACTTGGAAAAGAAACATCTCAGGAAACTAAGTTTAAAGACCCCACTCGTATATCTCATCTTAAATAAATGCCAAATTATTGAATAATCAGATTTCTGATGAGTAAAAAACATGATCCTCATCCATTTCGAAGAAATGAGTAAACTGTGAGCTAATAAGTAATGTATATAACTGGATCGTATAGGAAGATTACTATATTTTAAGGCGGTTGAAAAATATGGAAAGAGAATGAGGAGAAAAAAAAAGGAAAATTCCTTCATATCCCAAAAGATACTTAATTACGGTTAATCCAATAGTTGGATCAGCAACTTAAAAATTTACCTGAAAATAGGCTTCTCAAGAAATGTCAGTACTATTCACTAGTAGAAGTTTGAATTAAATCATTGGTTCTGCTAATAATCTTTACTAAATTACCACTTTTATTAATTAAACTTTGCTTTTATATATATATATATATTACAAACTTACTCATACATAAAGAGAGAGAAAAATATTACAGTATATATATTCCGAAATGAGAGCAGAGAAGATAAGCATAGCATGTGAAGCCTCTGCAAGAGGAGAGAAGTTTAGCACAAAAAGCCAGAAGTGAGGGAACAAAAGCATTAAATTGATTGAGTCCAAACAAAAACATTAATATGATTTATACAAAAGGAGAAGGAAGAAGTCTGACGAAGATATTAAAAGAGAAGAAGAGAAAAAAAGGTAAAGGGTATAACTAAATACCTTGATTGAAAACACTAATAATCGATTGAGAGTCTTTTAAGGTAGAATGTATATATTTTGTAAATAAAATTTGTAAAAGTAGGATAATTTAGTAAACATAAACATTTAGGGCGATAAAGTTTTAAATAATGTATAAAAATAAAAAAATCCATTTGTTAAAACGTTTGAAGCCCAAAATACAAGTACCAAAATCGTACCGGTGACTCGACCGTGACCTAAATCAAGCCGGCAAACGTTGGTTTTGTTGTTGGCACCAGACATCTAACCGACGACTATAAAAAGAGCCAAAAGAGGTGCGGCTTTCTTGATCCCGCGCTCAAATAGCAACAATGCTCCTAAAAATGTAAAATTCATGGCCACGCTAATCCAACAAACCAAAGGCAATTCCTTGCTGTCGCGCTTCAAGGCCTTTCTTGCGTTTCAGGTGCTTAGCTTTATTAACTTGTGCATCCACCGTCTATATTGTTTCATTCAGGCAAATTGTCGAACAGTTTATAACATTCTTGTATAACTTGCTGTATTCCAGAAATATAAGCACACGTTTTCTCAAGATAGACGTCGGAGACGGCACCCTGCTGATATGGGTTCTGACTCTGTGGTCGAGACAGGTAAATACTGCTTCTTACTTGTTGTCAATGAAAGGAAAAAATGCTTTCTATATGTTTGTCATTGTATAGGATGATTCTGGTTACTTGTGTGGCATGAATGGAACATGTTATTTCTGATGACGTGCTGATTAGCTTCTTGACTGTTCTGGGAAAAATGAATCATTAAATGCTTGAGATGTTATTCAAAACATTATTAAGTTGATGTGTCCCACCAAGAATTTGAAGTAAATTCCTTACAAATTAGTGTTAGCAAGCACGTGCCCCGTTAAGTCCAATTTTCTAATGAGCAACGCATATAAGAGTAGGTACTTTTGTTTTATTGCATTAGGAGACATGATGGTTCAGAATTAAGAAGAATGTTATTTTATGTAATTAGGAGTAACCCTATGATTTGTGATGATGATGCAGGTGAAATTGACTTCTCAAAGTGGAGGAAGCTTGACTCAAGGAACTTTGGGATAAGTAGCTCAAGGATACCAGCATCTCCGTGGATTGTGCTGAAGGTTCTCCAAAGTCAAGGTGATACTTAATTGCTCAAATGGTGCTTAGTTCTTTTTCTAGATTTCTCAGTTGTGTTCACAGAACTGCAGGACTTCAACATTATTAATTCGCTTAAGAAAGGAAAAAGAAAAGGTAATGACAGTTCACTTATGAAACATAAAAATAAGAAGTGTGAATGGACAAAATCTGCCTTTATTGTGGTATTTGGAGTTAAATATATTCTTGAAGCTAATAAAAATAAAATCAATAACAAATTTAGAAATTTACCTCCTCGCCCCAAACAATGTGAATTTTGGATGCATAAATACAGATTTTCCTTATTTTTCCACTCTCTCGATAAAAGCAATTATGACACCGAGTGGTGTGTATGATCAAGAATTGAAACCACTTATCCCCTTATATCTGAATATTGCTTGGTGGATTAGTCGATGTTGGGGCAAGGTGGGCCGTACAACTCTCATAGATAAAATCTGAATATTGCTGAAGTGTCTTAATGTATTTCCATAAAATCCATGACTCCTAAGTTGGTGTTCCCGAATTTCATCCAGAATATTTTAAAAGCTCTCCAAAACTGGCAAGTAAAGATAAAAGCTACTACTTCTGGGGTTGTAGTTTACACCAGACCTATTTGAACAAAACATGTGGCACATGACTGGTAAAGGGTAGAAAATATAAAATCTCACAGCTTCCCAAAGCCAATCAAGTTCTTCACGAAGGCACTGATTTACGATTAATTTCAGAGTTGGAATCCAGGAAGGCGGAAATGAAGTCATTTGATTCGATTCTTTGAGTCTTTGACTTGACAGTGGAAGTACATCATCTATTAATAATACAATATGGTAAGAGTACTAATGTGCAAATACTAGCTAGTTTATTTTTTGATAAGTCAAATACTAGCTAGTCTATTATTCTTCATTTTTTAAGTAAAGTAAGGTAAATTAATTAAAAATAAAGTACCAAGAGGTACTAGCCTATTATTCATCTTTAAACATTAGCACTACATATAGGATTCATTCCATCAATATCACACCTGTCCATTTTGATGATACTAGTTATTTTACTCTGTGTAGAAGCTTCTTCATGAACACAGAGTCACACTCAAGATATGAAGCCCGGTGCTTTTGTTAACAACAGTACGAATTCCGTCATCTACAAACATATAAATATTTAGTTGGGAGGATATCTGGGATCAAGTCCCAAAGGATTTTGTTGTCCCTTTTGGGAAGAATCATAACGTTCAAACCTATTTCAGATTCTGGAAATCTTATTGGTACACTTTAGAATTACAAATGAGATATTGGGTTAAAGATAGCCACTATATAAGCTCCCAATAAATTGTAGTTTGCATGGATAAGGAGCCACAAAATAAGATACTAGTTTGATTTCACTTATCCAAAAAAAAAAAAAAAGATACTAGATTGATTTCATTTTTCTTGTGGCTTCAGGAAATCTTTTAACCATTGTCTTGGTGCTACCTAGTCTGCATGTGTGTTTGTTATGTGTGTGTGTATATATATATATGTGTGTGTGTATGTGTGATCACACACACACACACACACACACATATATATATATATATGAGATCATAGAGATACTTCAGTTTTCCATCTCACTGTGTGAAGATTAGCATTTGACAAAAAGTTGCAATATACAGGTTTTGAAGCATACCTTGTTGGTGGATGTGTCAGAGATCTAATTCTCAATAGAATACCAAAAGATTTTGATGTAATCACAACTGCAAGGCTTTCACAGGTCCTAGATACATTCAAAACATTATCCTAATTATGAGCCAGTCATGTTTTCTTTCAACTACTCGTCAGCATGATTTGATATTTATGTCGTGTTCCATTTGACATAGATAAGAAGGCATTTTGATCGTGCTGAAATTGTTGGACGACGGTTTCCAATATGTAGAGTACATGTCAAAGGTTCTGTCGTGGAGGTTGGTGCAGCTTTATCCTATAGATCTGTTGCATATTCTATACTTCTATTTCTTTTTGCATGGGCATGGTCTGTTTCACAGTTGTATACTTTATCTTTCTTTTTTTTAATAATATGAAAATCACTAAAGGGCTTTGGGAAGTGACAAGTGGTTGAGTCTTGCGATTCAAATTGATAGGTTTACTGTTTTCATCAAAATATATTGTACACTGCTTAAGAAAAGGAGAACACCTATTGAAGAACTTCCGTTGGTGTCTGACCTCCTTTTAAACTTATATTGGATAGGTAATAGGTCTGAAATCCTTTTCTCCTAGATGCCTAGATATGTTGGCTATCATCTTTCAGACACTATACAACTATAACTAATGAAGAATTTGGGTTTCCGTCTCTCAGGTGTCAAGTTTTGATACCGTGGCAAAGCAAACCGGAAAAAGAGAGGAACTTTTCATTCCTAAAATGCCAAAGGGATTTTATAAAAAAGACTTCATTCTCTGGAAGAATTCCATGCACCGAGACTTCACTGTTAACAGGTATCTCTTTATTTTGTTTCCTTTAAATTATTCCCAGAGAAGGGATGCTCCGGAAGGCTTCATAGGTTGTTTTGTTCTACTGCTGGACTCAAGTTTGTTTTGGTTTCGAAAAAGCCTGTTCTCCTTCCCATTCTGCCAACCGAAAGTGAATATCTATGGAGAGTTGGAGACAGCCAAAGGAAAGCTGAAAAATTTAAACTCATAACACCTAATTGTTGTTTTAATCACACATTTACATTTTATTTGATTAGCTGGTGCTGATCTACGCTCAGAAAATAATGGAAAAAATATAATTGCAGAAATATTAGTGAGCAAAGGTCTTGACAAAAAATGGAGGATTGTAGTGTGGTATAGAGGTGGCAGTCACTTAGAGGCATGTGGTGCAATGCCATGCTTGATTTCTCCCTGTTGTGGTCCTCAGTGAATATCTAGAAACCCAATATGGCGCCTATTTGTGTTGTAGAATCATAACCTTCATCTTTAGCAACAGACAAGTTATAAAAGTGAAAGGTAGTGCAACAACTGCGTTTTCCACCTTGTGGGATCCTTGGGAGGTGGTGCTACAATGTTCTCGTGTTTGATTCCCTGTGTCAAGTCTTTGATGACATCATAATTCAATTGAAGATCTACTTATGGATGAATCATCAAATTTTGTCCACATCCTTTTGGATGGGAAATTGGCTGAGATAGAAAAAGCATTGCCGTGTGTAGAGCTGCAATTAAGAAGTTGGAAGTTTCTATTGGTCACTTTCTTAGAACTTGAAAAGTAGAGGTAATGAAGTATGAGAAATCGTTGGCCTAGTAAATGGTTTAGTTATAGGTGCAGCCACGCAAATTGTTAAAAAAGGTCTTGTAGCTATACTAGATTACTGGTTGAGTTGATTCTGTCAGTTTGATCTTATCATTTGGATCAGTGCATAGAAAGAAAGAAAAGATGAAAAGCTGAACATAGTAGGCGGCGTTGTTATTCTGAAAGCAAGTCTGTTGTTGATTTGGTTTTGATATTTGGAAATCAATGTGTTTTTGAGTTTTATTTAGGAAACAGTTGCACTGTAGGCAAAATTAATAGATTAAAATCGCCAAAAATCTTTATTTTCTTTAAAATGTATTTTTGAACCGCCAAAAGAAACGGTTTTTAAAAACAAAAACCCGCACGAGGAAGAAAGAGAGCTCCATTGTTTTCCCGTAAGCAATGGAGGTAGTTGCAAGAGGATTGTTTTAGTTCTCAGAACTGGTCAGAAACTTTCCGCAATTCTCTATTCTGATTGAACTATTAAGGATCAGTATTATTGGAGGGACTGTTTGCATGTTAACCTTGATCTCTTGGAGTTTTCATTTGTTTCCTACTCTCATAATAACCACTTGCTTTCCATTACTCTCCTTGGGATGGATAGCACGACATTTGCATTGGCAAGAAGAATCACATGAAAGCATGGAAAACAAATATTTTGTTTTTTACATCAAACTGGGAAAAAGTTGCTCAAAAAGTTGTTAAGTTAAAACCTGTTCTGCATGAGTTTTGTAAGGCCTTTCAAAGGCGTTGATAAAGGTATTGGACCACTAATTGGCTTAAGGTTTTAGGTTGAATGCTCAATTGTTTCACGGGTTATTAGAGTCAACATTTGGTAAGTTCATTCTGACACTTGTAAATTTGCATCAAGTTCACGTGTGGCCACAAATTCAAGTTATACATGCATGAGGATGTTGAGTTGTATAATTGTCCTGTGTAGGGACTTCCAAGAGGTTTATGAAGGCTTTGAACTTTCGTCAGTAAATCTTCTTGTATATGTTTATATTGAATAACAGGCAAAATAATTTTCCTTTCTACTCCACTCATTGCCTTAAGGTTTTGGTTGGATGCTCAACTTCTTTCACAAAAACAAATACCTGTCCAACTCTATGAGTTGTTGTAGTGGCCCCTCTAAGTGCCTTCTCTTAAATCCTTATGGACCTCCTCATGTATTGTTGCCTCTTAACTGTTTGGGGGCGTTTGGTAGGAGATATAAGAATAATATTGAATAGGGTGTATTAGTAATGCTGAGATTAGTTATGCTGAAATTATTTCTTATCTACTGTTTGGTTTGGTGTATTAAAGCATTGCTTAATTTCTAAAAAATTGGTTGTTTACAAAAATACCCTCCACATTCTTTAACTTTGTACACTATTTTTAATGCAACAGTTTTATTACCCTCACATTCTTTTTTCTCTCTAAAGCCAACTTTTTTTTACAGGGAACAAAATTAAAAGAGAAAACTAATTGAAATATTAAAGTTAAAAGAGAAGAAAAATTTAATTGATGTGACATATAATACAAAAGATCAATTATTAAAAAAATGGGTAGATTTTTAACAAATAAAGAAAACTCCACTTTATACTTTGAATGAATTCAAAACCAAAATTAGTATTAAATATGAATTTGTTTTGATTATAATAGAATGCTAAAGGGGAGAAATTAATTAAAATCACAATATAAAAATATACAAAATATAGCGGAAAGTATTTGGAATAGGTTTTGAGGGATTTGAGGGGCAATTATGTCTTTAACCATGTTTATGCAAGTATTAAAAACTCTTGCATTGCTAATACCATGGTTTGCTATGTATTAGTCATACATAGGATAATACTTGTATTAGTTATATATATGTTGAAAAATGTACCAAACAAGGGATTAGTAATGCACAAAGCTAATGCTTGCATTGTTTTTTCTAATACCTCCTGCCAAACGACCCCTTAGTGATATGTCAATTGGTAATGTTGTATTAGAGCATTCTACCAGTTTGTATAGTTTAGTTAGACAATTCGTTTGGTCTTAATATGACTCTACTTATTAGACTATCATTTTTTTATGACTCCACTTAATAGAAGAAAGGATTCTTGTATCACTTACCCTCTATATTAGTAGATAAAGTAGTGACATCAATTTTTAATACGAGTATCCTTACTAATTTGCCTCAGGCTTATTATTAATTTGTTATTTACAAAGTTATCAATGGGCATATGCATTTAACATATTATAGATGACTTTGGAAGAAATACAGTTTATACATGCTTTGTCTGCAGTTCAAAAGTCTATAGTTTTTTGCTTGTTTCTACATACTTTCTTGATTCTTTTGGTGGTTGATCGGATCTCTTAATTTGTTAAATTTGTGGTGCTGCTTTATTTTGTTTTGTTTTGTGTGTGTGCGTATAAAATTGTGGAAGCAATTTATTGTGGTGGTAATGAACTCATTTTTTGTGTTTGTAAAATTTGTGGAAACAGTTTATTTTTCGATCCATCCGTGAATAGAATCTACGATTATGCCGATGCAATGGTGGACTTAAAATCCTTACAGGTGAAATTAATTTACAAATATGTAAAGGTCCAACCTTTTGATGTTTTAGGAATTTACGAAGTCTTTTTGTCATATTTATGCAGTTAAGGACTTTAATACCAGCACACTTGTCATTTGAACAGGATTGTGGTAGGTGCAACTATTCTAGAGATTTGCCTTAACTTGAGAATTAGAACTATATTTCAAGCATTCTACTTTGATATTGATCCTTCTGTATTTTGTTTATGTAGCCGGCCTCAACTAGTCTGCGCTTTGAGTTCTAGTTGTTGATAACTTGATGTATAGTTCTTCAAGATGACAAAGAAATATAAGCCGAATATTACCAGATTTATAAAAAAAAGTTATTTCCGGATTTTTTTTACTCGGTTTAAAATCTAATACTCCCTCCGTTTCAATTTATGTGAACCCATTTGACTGGGCACGGAGTTTAAGAAAAGAAAGAAGACTTTTGAACTTGTGGTTTAAAATGAGGCACATATATTTTGTGTGACTATAAATCATTGCATAAAGGTAAATTGTTTCCAAATAAGGAAAGGGGTCGTTCTTTTTGGCACGGACCAAAAAGGAAATAGGTTCACATAAATTGAAACGGAGGGAGTACATGTTTTTGATTGTACATGGTATGTCCAGTTTTTAATACAACAATCGAAATGCCCCACCAAAAATAGATAATGCCCTAAATAACTCAACAGTTATTATTCATTATGTTACAAATCTTTTATATTATAGCTCTTGCATAACTTGTTTGTGAACGGAAGGATCACTCAGTATTAAATCTTTAGTACGGATTGTACTATTATATAGACTATACGTTAAATGCCAAGTAGCTTGTCGCCATGGGTTCTAATTGAATTTAAGGTGATTGTGTGGAGATGAAGTTGGGCTTTGTGGTAGCTGTTGTTAGGTTTTTAGACAAGGGGAGGGGTCATTCTTATTGGGATTGGGTCTGAAGTGAGGGGGTAACATGTTGTTGAAGGGGAATGAGAGTAGGGTGTTTAGGTGCCCCAGGAGGAATGAGGAACAAGGATATTTGGAAAGGGGCTTGTTGTTTCACAGAGAGAAAGATCGGCTTTGGTGCTTGTGAGGGGAAGAGTGCCAATACTGTGCTGGTGAGAAAGGGGAGAGTTGTGCTTGAAGATGCGTGCGATAATATTCCCCAGGTGGATTGCTATACTCTGCATGTGGGTTGGGGGAGGTGGAACATGGCATTCTGCCTAAACTTGGAGGTAGCAAGAAGAGTTGAAGTTTTTGAGGGACAAGTTTTTATGGAAAACGTCATATTCTTCAATCCATCACTTGAAAAAGAATATTCTTTATGTACTTAAGTGAACATTCGTATGTAAGGCCAATGCAAAAAGTGTTTTCAGTGGTTTACTAGTTAGAGTAAGTATTTCCAAAAGTTGGGGGAGGTCGGAGGACTGTTGAATTGAAAAATTTAATAGGGGTACATGAGTTTAACCCTAATGCCTTTCTTTTTTAAATTTTGATGAAACTGATTCTGGATTTTCTTTCTCCTCAGCGAGGATGCTGCGCGGCTTGAGACTGGCTGCTCGCCTTAAGTTGTCCTTTTCAAAGGATATTGAAAATGCTATGCACAAACTCTCATCGTCCATAATGAAATTGGACAAGGTATGAACGATGAATTCTATGAAAACAAGCATTAACTTATTTCATAACTTCTGTTTGTTCTTTTACCCCTCCCATTGTTAGTTTTCTCTATGCTATCATCCTTCTTCTCATTGCTTGATATCCGTGATGCTAAAAACGGTTCCTAACCACAAAGGAATCTCTCTACAAAACTGCTTCATGGTTAATAGTTTTTCTCTGCATGGCCTTAATTTTTTCTTGTGCAGTCTAGACTAATGATGGAAGTCAACTATATGCTGTCTTATGGAGCTGCAGAGCCTTCTCTTTCTTTACTTCAGAGATACAACATCCTTGAGATGCTACTACCATTTCATGTATGCCATATTGTTCCATCTCATTTTGGTTTGATGTGAATTCTATGACTTTTTGGTTCAGGATAGTAAGCTTATACTTGAGTAAATGTGTCATTTACAGGCAGCGCACCTTACTCAACAGTCTAACAAACAATTGGGTGAAAGTTCTGCTATGCTGATGGTATGATCTTCCTATCTTGTGTTGTTTTTTTACTCTACAAAATTGTATAGTTCCTTCTATGTGCTTCCTCACTTACTGATGTCAACTCTTCCAATGCTGTCTATGTATTTTCTCTAGAGTGCTTGTTCACATGCATCCTCCTGAGATTTTTTCCCATGTGAGCGCATGCACACACTTGTGTCTGGGCATATTTGTCTTTTCACCTTATGCATGTTTTGTTCAGTTTTCAGTAGTGTTTCACGCATTGAATTTATTGGTCTGAACATTTTGCAGAAACTATTTTCCAGTTTGGATCAATTAGTCACCTGTGGTCGACCTTCTCATGATAGTTTGTGGTAAGTTCAGTAGCTTCTAGACAACATCGATGATAGATATTTCGTGTGACTTCATATGTTCATTGAATTAAAGAATGTGATCTGACCTTGTTAATTGATATCTTTTGGTTCTTTTCTTTTGGTGGGTGTTTTTTTATCACCCCTCCAATGATTATTGCAATTATCTGCGCCTGCAACGATAGTCCATATACTGCAGCAGCTCTCTTGTACGAGTTGAATGTTTTCCATTTTATTTGACATCACTTTCAGAAATATGGTTCTCTGAAGGATTTTTTTCTTTCGTCATTAGTGTTATCTCAGTTCCTTGTGTATCACTTTCTTCCAAAAGAGATGGTCGTTATCTTTGGCTATTATTCTTGTAGTGCTTACTGACACTTCGAGAACTTTATTCATATATGAGTCGTTCTTCCGTGGTTTTAGACCCCTCTGTTTTATGCCTTTATTATTTCTATCTTGTTCTATCAACATTCATACCTACTAGCTTTATGAGAGAACTATTCTTTTTCCTTAGTCCCAAGTGTTGATGTTGGCAGTTGATATCATTGTTTGACTACTAAAGGTTCTGTGTTATTATAGCTTAGGGTTGAATATTTGGAGTTAACTTTTGATTTCTTTTTATGCTTTGAAGTAAACAAGTTTTTAATCTTTCATTTGGGATGTTGTCCTATGTCTACTACCTTTATATCTTTCATTTGTGATGTAAGTTTTGTTTGGTTTAAGATCTCCCTTGTTTAAGGTTTCTCATCAATCAGAGGCCAGCTGTAATGTGTTTTTGTTTATAAGCATTGGCAAAACTGGAAATTAGGGGTGGGCATTCGGTATTTCGGTTCGGTATTTAAGAATTTCGATTCGGTATTTCGGTATTCGGTTTATCAATTGTGTATACCAAATACCGTACCAAAGTATTCCGGGACGGTTCGATATTTCTTATTTTGGTTCGGTACGGTTTTGGTTTAATATTCGCTAAATAAGCAACACTAACGAGTGACAATAATCGCTAAACTTTATCACAGTGAATTATTCTTACAGTGGCTACTGCAACCCTCTATGCTTACTGCTTAGGATTTTGGAGTTCTCTTTGCAAGAAGTTGCTCATGAATTGTTAGATTGCGAGTACTATGAGGTTTAATTGATCGTTCAAGCCATTGACTAACAAATTGTATTTGCTAGAATTGAAACACTGCATTGATTTTGTTTGTATAATGTCATAGGCATTGCTTCATTTCTTTTGTTATCTATCATATAAATGGCCCTGCACCCACACGACAATTCCCACAGAAAAACTGGACGGGACAATATGTAATTCCGTTAATCTCTCCCTTGGTCTTGAAAGTTCTCCAGCTCATTCCTTTTGTTGAGAGTAATGTTTAGCCAAGGAGCTTAAAAAAGATGAGCAGAAGAGAAACTCAAACGTATCCTTTGGATTGGAATGATACAGAGAAGAGAAACTCTATTCTTTTCCATTGCACAGCTGATCAGTCTACATGCCAATCAGTCTACAAACGTGTTCTTGGCTGCAAATTTTTTCTCTGAAAATGGCCAAGTTTAATGTAAAGAAACCAGAGGATAAATCTTGAAATGGATGAACTGGGAATGAGCAGAAAACACAGGAGGAAGAGGAAAACTGTCTCTTGATTACAAAATTCCCTCTCAAGAGATTGTTTCAACATGTGGGTAAAAGTTACGAACCTGTTGAAGTTGAAGATTGAAGATTGTTTCTCAGTTCTCACTTCTCTGAGTTCTCTCACAGGTCACAGCCGTCAGCCGATCTCTTCAGTCTTCAGTATAGGTTTCTAATTACCAATTGCAAGTGAAAGTGAAAGACTGAAAGTGTGAAACTAGGGTAACTGGGGTCTGGGTAAGAGGGTAAGAAAGTGAAAGAGGGAAAGAGGCCTAGTAGTCTTATTGGGTTGAGCTCCTAGAGAATTAAAATTTTGGGTCGGGCACTTGGGCTGGGCAGTGTATAGGTCCTACATGATCTTTAAAAACTCGGTATTTCGGTATACTGAATTGTCAAGATCCTAATATCGAGGACCGTACCGTTAATATCGAAATACAGAAAATTTAGTACCGAATTGAACCGAAATACCGAAAAAAGTGAAACCGAAATACTGAATTATTTCGGTCCGGTTCGGAATTCGGTTTTTCAGATTTTATGCCCACCCCTACTGGAAATACCTCTTTTGTTTTTTTGATTTGCACCGGGTGTCCGAGTCTCTTCGAGCCCCGACTATTCCCGGGGGTGCACAGGCCCTCGGCAAGGAGTTTCCCGCAAGTGCACCGCGGTTAATTCAGGTTTTACCCAGTCCGATGGCCCTCAGAAATTGTTTGCACCCAGTGGTTTTAGGAACTTGCGTTTCGCTCACACATGCTAAGAAAATTCACACTGAATCCAGTGATGAACATGGTAACAAGGCCAGCTGTAACTTTTTTGTTTGTTTGTTTATAAGCATTGGCAAAACTGGAAATATCTCTTCTGGTTTTAGGAACTTGCGTTTCACTCACACATGCTAAGAAAATTCACACTGAATCCAGTGATGACATGGTAACAAGGCAAAGAAAATAGTATGGGATTGCATTTTTGTTCTGCTTCTGGAAAATAAAAACCACACAAGCGAAGATAAACACCCTAATCAAGTTTTCACCTTGCTGGCTTATAAATATAAAAAGAAAGAGAGGGAAGGAGGGAGGGACTGATAACCTAAATTGTCATACTAGTTCAACAAGCAAATCCATAGGAAAGAACTGCAGCACCGGAAACAGAAATTGAGCTATCTTCATTTTGTTTTTATACTTTGTGTTCACATTCTGGACCCTCCTTGTCGAATATCGTGCTGCATTTTCATGATATGAAAAACCTAAGTTGGGATCATCACTATGAATAAGCTTCATTACTTAAACGAATAGTAACCTTTCTTGTGCCGCTTAGATTGGTACTTCTACTCTATTTTTTGCATTTAGAATTTTTGCTTTTAAATTGTTTTAGGAGCATTGTGGACATCTTAAGTGTTGAAGAATCTCTTCGTGTATGTTCAGTGTATGTTCAGCACGTAGGGAGTATGATGGTAGATGTAAGCAGAGCGAAGGTAATGGCATGACCATTATTGTCAATTGCTTAATTATAATTTTCAGCGTGGAGTATTTCATGGTTCTATAGTGCATGTTGACTACATTCAGCTGTATGAAACCTGGGGAGTCATGTTACAATAAATAGTTCACTATCAGCATAGCAGCTCATAAATCATAATCTGGCTTTCTGCAATCAAACTGGTGGATTTCTACTGTTTCTCAGATCATTGTGTTATCACCTTTTGGAAGTCTATTAGATGACTCAGGCTTGAGCTAGTTTCGAGAAATTGGCTTGTAGTGACTAGTATTCTTGACAATATTTTTCTTTTTGATTGATGTATGTGCGCAGGGTTGCACTTTTGGCATTTCATCTGGCATTAATCACTAAACCTCAACAGGCATTTGTTGTCCTGACGTTTGCTTCTGTGTTGTACCATGGAAATTGGAAGGAAGGTGTTAAATTTGCTAAAAGACATTCTGATGCTGCAGCTATTTATGCACCTGAAATTTCAGATTCTCAAGGCTCCTCCACATCAGATGATGAGCTTGCGGATAGAGTTACAGAGCTAGCAGTGCTAGTGAAAAATTCTTTAGACATTTTGACTGATAAGGACAGCCTCCGGGACGCAATGTCCAAGTTTCCAGGTTCCCCATGCTCTGGTTTGGTGAGTATACCTACTTTGGTTTCTAGATCTAGTTTGAGGCAACTTGTTAAACCGAGCTGGCCTAGCTGTTTTGTTAAATATTATTTTATTGAGCACTCCATATATGTGTTCTGTACCCTTGTCGCGCTTTGGAGTAAGTAATGTGAAAAAAGTAGTATGTCCATTTGATGCAGCTTTTTCACCTGAGAATCAAATTGACCATTTTTCTTCTGAAAGTGGGCACTGATTTAGTCATCTTCTGAATATACTGGAAAATTAATTTAATCAAAGTCTAATTTCACAATTTGACAATTTGTTTGTTGAAATTGTGGGATTAAACTGGGCCGTTGTTGTTGTTTGTTGAAAAAGTACAAGTGAGCTTTTAAAAAATAAAACTAACCTATTTTCCTCTCAAAAGTGGACCATGTCATATAAAATGGGACAGGGAGAATTAGCTAGTTATAGGAATCTCGGAGTTTGTGAAGAACATTCTCTGTTAGTTTCTATCTATTAGCAGGTATGATGGACAGAATGACTTGAAACGCAATTGAGTTCTAATTTCTTGGTGAAATCTCTTTGCTAATCCATATTACACTTGGTCATAATTTAATGGTAAGATCCCAGATTGCAGAATCTGGAGGCGGGTGTTTGGACGACTTCCCAAGAGATAAACTCGAAACAGTTAGCCTTATTTTCCATACAATTACCTTATTTGTTAGTTCTTATTTTCCATACAATTACCTTATTTGTTTATACCTTGAGGGCTACACGTTTATAACCTTTTTGAAGCTGATGTATTGCACTGTTTTCCTTTTTGAAGCTGATGTATTGCACTGAAAAACAGTGCTTAAAATGATATAAACCATGCTGCCTACATAGGTTCTGAAGTAGTATTAATTTGGAGGGTATGAGTGATCAGACCATCTTTTGGTTTAGGAAAGCTAGTTTTTTACATTCATGGGGAGCTGATTCCCCCGGTTTTCTATAAAATTTGTCTTTGGAGTAAAAGAATTGAGTTTCCTGCAATTAAGAGGACCTCATATTTCTAGGCCTCGTGGAAGAGTGTTCTTTATCTGGTTACGACATGAATGCTTTCATTTAACTTTTCCAGGAAGTTTGGACTAGTTGCACTTGGAATAAAATTAACGCTCTTTCCCTTCACAGCTAAAAGGCTGAAATATATTCATTGGGAAATCACTTCAGCTCTTATATTAAAGAGATGGGGATTTAGCGGAAGCTCCTGTCTCTGCCGACAGTATCTATTTTGTCATGATTTTTCTTCTTGCCGTGAGGAAAGTAGGAGAACAGCAAACAGAATCTAACAATTGTTAATTTCCTGGAGAAATTTTTTATGGGTTACTAAGCCTGTGATGGTAATTACTATAATATTATTGTAGAGATTGTTTGACTATTTAATGAGATATTTTATATTCAGGTATTTGTATCGAAGAAAATGGGGAAGGGCGTTGAAGTAATTTTTGACATTCTTGTGGAAGATGTTACGTCTCTTAAAACCAGGAGGAATAGTTTCAAAATAGATTATACTCTGCTTGGGAAAGGACAAATGCGTGAGACAAGGTTTGTTCTTGGCCAAATCATCCTTGATACTATAGCTCCTGGGATCATTCCAGGTGGTGAAGTGATTAAAAACGAGAAACATACGCTGGTTAAAGTTGACGCTCAATCGAGTGTAGATGATCCAAGGGAAAATATTGGTGGAAATGTGGAGTTAAAGAAGCGGAAGTTCCAGTGTGAAGATGATAATCAGCCCACTGCAAGTTATGAAATTAAACACAATAGAACTGAGAAGCGAAAGTTGATTCAAAAGGGGAGCTTTGCTTTAGAGGAGGTAGTAACTAAGAAGCAAAAGTCGGTTATTGCCCAGCAATCCAAGAGCAAGGCTGTTGAGAAGCGGGATTTGATTGAATATGACGAATCTCTTAATCAGAAGCTAGATAATGAGGATGCTATAAATAAGAAGAAAGCTAAGGGTGAACATGGTGAGTTGCCTCAGGATGAAATAAAAATGGTTCTTGAAGGGGCGATGCATAAAGTGCTGCGTCACAAGATTGAGCAAAAGGGAAGCAATAAACATCAGCAGACTGCCGTAAACCAATTAAAGCTTTTACTCGACGTTGACAATGGTGTGACTAGCAAGCAGCACAATTCCAAAGAGAAGAGTGATTCTTCACAAGAACAGAATGAGGAAAGGAACGAGTCATTAGATAGCAGAAAACAGAATTCGCAGGGGCATAATTTGTCTTCGGATAAAAATAGTAAACCAAAAGCAGCAGGTAAAAGAACACTTTCAAGTCTTTTCAGGTGAGTTTAACTTTGCATCTTGTAAATTATATCTTCTTCAAAAGGAGGAAGAGCAATACTAAGAGCTGTGTCTTACCTTGTTCCTATTTTGCCATAGGGTATTAGATTTCATGTACATGGCAATTGATCGTGCTAATTGGTCGCGGTTGCCATTTTTGACAGTGACATAATATTTCTTAATTAGTATATTGGAATTGTAGTAGTTCATATTCATGTTTGAAGTACTTCTCTGAGCCTTCTTGTCATTCATTTTATGGCAAGTCTGTCTCCAGTGATTGATTATGATTTATGTCCAAGTACGTGGCTTGGGGATGGGCTTCCATTTTCATGGGTCCGTGAATTATTCTACGTCGTTATTTGAATTTATTGAATCTGAAGCACCAATTGAGTGATGCTATTCAAACTCGAGTATCTCTGACCCACCCACTACTAACTCTTCCGGATTTCTTTTTCCAAACTCTCGATCAATATATTCTGAAGAATTCGGTATTATAATTTCGGAATTACAGCGGGGAAAAAAAAAAGAAAAGGAAAAGTAAAGTAGTGATAATCAAAATAAAATGATTCACGTATCCCATTCGAAGGAAAATAGTGAAGGCGGAAGGAAGTTTCTCTTTTCTCTCAAATAGTCATTAGATTATAACTTTAATTCCACCCTGCAAAATAGACCGACTTTCAAGATTGGCATTATATAAATATGTTGAAACACAGCATGCCTGCTACGCTTATTTGGCGCAAACACAATCACATATACGAGAGTAGAGTAAATTTCAAAATTCACTTGCAGACCAAAGGAAGCCAGTGATTCCAAAAGGATTGTAAATTGATAGGTAAATACTCTTTTAAGTTCATTTTACATGTCGTTTAAGGTTTGACAAATTCAGTTAAAAAATTATTTTGTAACATTAGTCATAAAAATCGATTTAAATTACTCTTTATCATACCTCAAACTGAGGAATAACTGCCGAGCGACTTTCTAAAATATTATATAGATCGTTTATTGGAGAAGGGTTGATTTGAAGAGAAAAAACATTTTTTTTTTAATTTCCTAAAGTTACACTTATTTTAAACTATAAGTTTGTTTGGACCAGTGTTTTAAAAGGCGTGAGTGTAAGGCGAGTCGTTTTACATATGCCTCAGCAAGGCGTAAGCCCCATGGACATTTAATTTTTAATATTTTATAAAAAAATATAATTATAGTAAATATTTATAAACATGTAAAATTGCATAAAAATTGAAGAAAACTATAAATATGTAATATATAGATGTGCTCCATCCCCACAAAAAAATAGTCAAAACAATCTATTATACGCTACTTACAAGAACAAGTAACTTGAGTCGAAAAGAATAAAGTTTTCTACATGGAGGAACAAAAATGATGACTAACCTGCAATTTGAACTTTGAACTTGCTGCTATGAAGGAGAATGAAGTTTTATTTGTATTGTAAAAAAAATTGAATATTTGTTGCTTTTGGAGATATTAGCAGACCAGCGGATGAGATAAAGAATTGGAAAAAACCATATATTAGGGCTTTAATCAATAAAAAGGTATTGACTTTTAAATTTAATACATTTCAATTCATTTTTAAATTTTTGAGTAATTACAAGCTGACCCTTGAGAACTCGGGTCATTATATGAATGACTTATTCAACAAATTTTATTTTAATTTGAAAAAGCCTCTGGGGCTTATGCCTCACTACAAAAACGCGTCTCAAACGCCCGGGCGTACGCCCCGAATTGCTGGGCGTATGCCTCTTGAAATTTTCGCCCCACACCATCGCCTTGGGGCATTTTTGGTGCGACTCGCCCTAAGGCTCGCCCCGGAGCTCGCCCCGAAAATGCCTTTTAAAACACTGGTTTAGACATTTAAATTGATGACAGTTGAAGTTTTTGTCTTTTGTAGACTTCTAAGTACCTGTGTACTCTTTATTACCCTTTGTGCTTGAGCTCACAAACGGTTACAAATTAGATATTTATGTTTTTATTTAAGAAAAGTATGAGAAGACTTTCTTTCAGATTTGTTTTGTTATAAACTTATTTATGATTTGAGATATTATGCTCGTAATTAGATAAAAATGAAAGTTCTATAATGTTCCAAAAGTCCTGTCGTGGCCTTATTTATTGGATGGTAAAAACATAATAACAAAAATTTGCCTCAAATACTCCTTATGCCACACAATTAATGCAAGACCTTTAGCATCTCTCCAAATGATAAGATTAACTGGAAAACATCTTTGTTCATCACATTTGAATTTTATGTTCTACCTACTCTTAAATCAATATATAAAACAAGGAATTTGAATTTCAAATTAAGAATTGCTAAGTTAGTGCCTTGACCAAAAAAAAAAAAAAAAAAAAAAAAAAAAAAAAAAAAAAAAAGCTAAGTAAGTATACTTTGAATTCTGGCTATTTATGGTATATCTACTACATAGATGTTTTAATTAATGGTTAACAATTTAAATAGAAAAAAGTCTCAATTTAGAAAAAAAATAAAACACAATTGCAAAAATCTCTTCAATTTTAATGCTTTCTTCTTTATTTTATTTTTCTTGTATTTGTGCATATATGACTTGACCTATTTAATAGCTATACATGATGTAACTTCTTTAAAATTTCTAAACTTTACAGTTAGGTTTGCAAATATGAGTAAACGAGGACAAGCCAACTTTAATAATGCTAACATGAATTAAGCCAATGCTCTTGAAAAGATAATTCCATTTTTCAAAAAACAAGCTGCAAAAAGAAAGAAAGAGATAAAAAAACTCAAATGCAAATTGCTAATCAGTCCCTGGTACTTTATATTCTTAGACTTTCTCCACTAAGTTCTATCAATTTTAAGTTTTCTTTTATGCTCTTCATTCTTTTTTTCTTTATAAAAATTTTGTGGATACAGGGCTAGAACTTATTTGATAGCTACATTACATGTGTGAACCTTTTAAGAATTCTATTTTTTTTAAAATTAAGGTTGCAAATGTTAATATTTGCAATATGCAAGTCAATTTTATTATATATCAAGTACCGTTCAGTCCGTAATAATTGTACGATAAGGTTACCATTCTAAAAAAAATGCACGATAGGGTTTCTCACATTTAAAAGTGACTACTCCTTTGAGTTTATAATAGTGTTGTCATAAATTTGTTTATAACGTATAATTAAGGCTGAAATTACAAACACATTTCGACACGTACGAACAACAAAGATGAACTAATCAAGATACTAAGCACACTTTTAACTAACACTTAAACCTAGACACATAAAGGAAAAAAAGGATAGTAGTCATTTCATACACAAAATTTAGTGCCATCCTAGTACTAAGTAGGAGGAGCCAAAATGAAGTGGAGCCCTACACCTCAAAAAGCCCAAAAGTGGGCAAGAGCGCATCTATCTCACCTGTATAGTAAGTATACTATGGGTACCCCAATAAGTTAGATTATTAAATGAATCTCTACTATTGTATTAAACTAAGTTGGAAAAATAATTATTCTACGACTATAGTAATTTGAAAGCAACGTATCCTTTGTTACGCCACATGCCACATGAAAATTTTAAGTGACCGTTGTATAGCTGGACTGTAAAAGTCATTTTACATGCTTAATTGGATCCAACGGCCATTTCTTCACTAGCCGTTTCATTTGAATAAAGAGAGAGAGACTGTCTCAGACTCTCAGTGTGTGTGTGTGTGTTTTATCAGACAAATACCCATTATTTTCTCACACCCTCATCTCTCCCCTTCCCCCTTTCCCTTTTCCTTTGTTTTTTTTTATTCTTGTTGTACACTATCTTCTTTGTATTCGAGATTGATCTGGGTCTTTCTGTAGATGCTCTCAGGTTTCAATCTGGGAGCTTTTACATTCTAGTGTAATTAACTGAAGAAGAAAGTTTTCTTTTTAAAAAAGACCCTTTATTTTTTACTATCAAGAAAAAGAAATGGCCATATCTGATGAGAACAATCCTACAATGGTTAAACCCACAAATGTGCAAGGTGACTATTTTGTGATAATCTAGCTCAGATTTAATTTTGTTTTGGGTTCTTTTTTTGGGGTGTAAAAATACTACGTAGCTTTGATATATATATATATATATA